GCTTATCAGACAATATGAGTGCCCAAATGAAAGACCAAAGAGACCATGTATGTCACTGTTGAACTCACTCTGCAGATTTTCCTTCAGCATGAGAATGAATGGGGGTTGTTTTTCTTTGATCCAGCTGTGAGTTTTACAACATTTGTAGAAGCTTTCAGCAATTTGGAGACCTTCACACTGCTGCCAAACTTTGCTGAAATGAACTAATTAGATCAGAAGGTATTGGCAAACAGAAGGGACAGACAAAAAAATATTACTGCAATAGCATTATTTCTTTAGGCAATTAAGCTACAGGTAAAAGTACTTTTATTTTAAAAGCACTTTATTTTAAATGTGTTTTTAAATACCATAAATAATGCTTTTGATAAACATTTTATTTTGTTTTGTTTTGTTTTGTTTTGTGAGAGAAATACAATGAATCATTCTCAAAGTTTAAGCACTTAAGTGAGTATACTCTGTATTATCACATAATTAGTTTAGGACAAATATTAATAAATAAACAAGTCTTTAAATACAACAGTCTTTCCTTCGTTCCAACCAGTTTTAACAATGAAATTATTCTGATGCTTCCAACATTTCAAGTAGTTCAGATAAACCAAGATCTTTTTGTACAGGTCATATTTGGAGACAGTAGGTTACACTTACCCTAGTCTGTTAAGAACTGCTAACATTTTGCACTGCTATTTTACTACACTGTGATTAGACTCAGGTTGAGCTCACACAACAGCTCAATGAATACTTCTGGCCTGATACATAATACAATGAATCAAGACCCTTTGTGTACAGGTACTTTGCATGCAGCAATTGTGATAGTTGTAACAACTCAAAAATATGCAGAACAGTGGTCAGATGCCTCCTGATTTCCTCTCTGGTGGATGGCTTGAAGGAGCATCTGGCAGAACTGAGGAAACATTATTCAGTCATGGCACTCTTGTGTCTTGGGGTCTCCCAGTCCATTTCCACAAAGGTCCTTATATTTCTTCCAATCCTTAGTAAACCCATGTAAATAAAATATTTGGTAGATTTCCTTAATCTAAGAGGCTACTAGCTTTCCATATTGCTAGTTGCCTGGATCTGAGCAATGAATAGTAGACTGGATTTTACAAAGACGTTAAGCAGATGCATATTTGCAACAGGTTAAGGTCTGCTTCTCGTTTTGGACCTGGCTGTACACAATAGCTGTTTGGGAGCAGGTCTGAACCGACTGTAGGAGGAAACCCTAGAAGATAAAGAAAGGCTCTCTGAACCCTCTGCGATGCAGCAGTGTAAAACTGAACAATGAACCCAGCTCCCTCAATGAGAAAGTCCTCCAGCTCACCATCCTGTACCTCTGACTTGGTAGCGCAGTGAGCACACAGAACTGGTAAGACAGGAAAATGAGAGGTTTCTAATTCTGAGATCAAGGACAGACTGTCAGCAGCTGGCGTCGTGCACTAACCCATCAGAATCTTTGCTTCCGGCAAACCTTTAGGTTAAGAACAACAGCTTCTGGGGGTGTTAGTGAAGGACAAGGGGGTGGGGCAGCAGTGGGTGCTACTGGAGAAGGGTATTTGGAAAGACTATTAAGAGATCAGGAAATAGAAGGAACTTACTATGCAAGTACATTAAAGGGATATTTTATTATCCTGAGAAGGTGTGAATGTGACCATTTAGCAGGCCAAGTGCAATTTAGATAGATATTAATAGTCAGTCTACAGTAGGGTAAGTGCATTCCCATCAGGGAACTGACCTTTCCTTTAGAGCAGCCCGTGACAGGCAGTGAAGAGAATCAGCACAGGCGTACCACTTCAAAAAATGCCTGTTTATTTATGTTGCCATTGCTATCTCCCCACGTAACTGATCCCATGCTAGCCTAGCTCAGTCCTGACAGTCGCTCCTGTCAAAAGCCCTGGTTCTCACTTATCCACAGCAAACGATGCATCTTTAGGTATTTGTTCAGGGCAGACTGGGAAGCACAGACTCCCTGTGCTGCGCTAAACTGTAAATACCAGCTTTTGAGTCACTCAATATATGTGGTTTCTAAATAATCTCACAGGCTATTCACTTGAGGGAAAGTTCAGTACGAGTAAATTATGCTTAAGCATCTTCACATCTTCAACTGCATACAAAGAAAAAAAAAAATTATAACTTCCTCACTTATCCACACATTATAATTATTAAAGGTGACCACAGGCAAAGATAAAGTGCATCACATCACCAGAATACATAGACTGCAAATGTAATGTACAATTAGCTATATTCGAATGACTATTTAAGTATAGTTTCAAGTAATTCTAAAATAAGAGTATGCTTTAAAGAGTAGATATATCTTGCTGGTTGTTTAAAATGAGAACACATATGCTACGTGACCGAAATCTGCTCTTGATAAGATGTGCATGCACATGTGTGTGTGGGAGAAAGAAAAAACATATCTTTTTACTACTCTTTTCATCTGCCATTTTTAATTCCAAAATGGAGTTAAATGTAAAGGGTGGCTACCAAGAAGATGGAGACTCCCTGTGTACAAGGAGTCACATGGAAAACACAAAGGGTAATGGGCACAAGTTGCTCCTGAGGAGATTCCAATTGGATGCAAGAAGTGTATTTTTCACCATAAGGGAAATCAAACTTTGGAATAGTCTCCCAAGGGAAGTGGTGGATTTCCCCACATTGGACAGTTTCAAGTCTCAGCTTGACAGGGTGCTGAGCCACCTCATATAAACTACAGTAGCACCTAGAGAGGTTGGACCAGATGATCCTTGAGGTCTCTTCCAACTTGGCATTCTGTGATTCTATACTAAACCAGAATGGAATTAATTGTAAGTAAGCAATTTTGCTGTGGACCATCTCCTCTAGAATTCACCTTTTGCCAACTGCCTCCTGCCATGAACCCCTCCTCATCAATCAGGAAGATACTGAGCAGGTGATTAGTTCTGCCAGACAAAACGCACAAAGCTAAACATGTTCCAACGTTTGCCCAACTAGATCTGTGTTACTGATAATGGTGTAACCAATGGCTTATCTGGAAAATCCTAACTACATCTTCAATGCATCTGTGTTTTTCCCAGGGCAGTTTCGGCAGAGCAGAAGGAAAGACAGGTGATCAGCCAGTGCTGCTTTGGCTCCATGCAGGTGCTCTACAGGTCAGCCTTGAAAGCCACTGGATTAAGGGCTTAGTTTTGAAGACAGAAGTAGGAATCAGCATCTTGGAGTCAAAACACCATGGGGAAAAAAGGAGGGGAGATTATAGCCACGGAAGTACAACCAGCCTGCCACTGTGGCTGAAGGGAGAGGGAAGCAGCTCAGTTCCCATCACACGGGGATGCACTCCGCGTCTGGCGGGGTCACGGGTGGGGCAGCCCACGCCAGGAGCACGGCAGCACCTGCAGACCGTGAGGGTATCTCGGTCACGGATCTGTAGACCCCAGAAGACAAAGTTGGCCATTCCCACCAAAACGTCGTGCCCTGTGC